GCTTCTACGCAGCCTGCTCCTGGTCCCCTTTGGTCCCCTGCATCTGTGCAGTCCAGTGGCTCCATTTTTTTTCAGTTCTCTGGCACCTGCCACCCTGGGGCATTTGGGCTAGGTGGGGTATAGAAGGGGCATAAAGTGGACCATTCACTGGGAATGTCTCTTTTCTCAGGCTGGGCAATGTGCACTGTGGGATCCAGCAGGCTGGGGTGAGCAGTGAAGAACGACCTGGGGGTCTTGCAGTGCAGGCCAGCTGGGGTGCTAGGTGAGCTCAGGTGGGTGAGAGGAAAGGTGGGCAGTTCTTTAGGGGTTTTCTCTGTGCATCTGAGCAGGAGAGAGGAACTCTGGGTGTTCTTTGAAACTGTCCTCCACTGGAGCTGGGTGGACAGGCTGTGGGCATGTCTCTTGGACTTCTCTCAGAGGAGGACAAACCACCCAGGGCAGGGTGTGCTGTGACCATGTCAAATGTTGGGCAAGTAGCTGATGGTCCTGGGGGCAAGGGGTGAGGTGCGGAGACTTGGGCTACTCAGATGTGAGGGGAAGGGGACCACCAGGAAGCCAGTCAAGGGAAACTTCTGATAATTGCTCTGCTGTTTCATTATTCCATGGATTCTTCTGAGCAATTGGGTGTGCACTACAGCTGATAGTAAGTCCTGTCCCTACTTTCTTGTTCCCTCCCTTCTCTGTAGTCACCAGGGACTCTGAGGTTCTTACCCACCTTCCTGTACTTACTCTTATCCCTCTTTAGAAGTGCACTCCCTATTTTAATAGAATCGTGTCCTGAGGCTCCAACAATTGGATCATCCCCCCTTTTCTCTACTGGTACTTCCCTATGTTTTCCTATTTTCAATGCTGTGAGACTCCCTTGTGTCTCTTTTGGATAGCCTGGACTCAGTACCAGTCCTGCCTACCTGGTTTCTTTCCAGGATCCTTCACTCAATGTTTCTGCTTCCAGCAGCATTTTTTGGCAAAATTACCCGCCTGGGCTCCTTCCCTGGGATGTGCCCTGGTGCCTTCTCATAATGGCCGTGCAGTGCCAGACCAGCAGGTTGGAATTGTTTTATCTGAGAATCTTCATGTCCCTGTTGATTTCATTGTAATGCTTTCAAATTTGTGCTCAGTCCAATTCTCCAAACTTTCTTTTGATATGCAGGGATCTGGGGTCATTGTTTGATTCATTTCATTTGGTTTCTTGACTCATGCTGTAGGGAGATGTCCAGGTTGCTTCTAGCTAAGTTACTATCTTAACTAGAATCTTCTAACTCACTGATATATTTTTAAAATATTTTATTGTGAATTATGTGATAGTTTACATGGGAGAACATTAGCTTTACATTTATCCTATCGTATATAATTTTGTTGCCATGGTTACAATCCCCTCCATGCATCATCAGCCAACCAAAGGGTATATCCTGCAAGCCTGCTCCCCCCACCACCCCCATCCCCGGTCATCAGCACACAGTCCGTCTCCCTCTTTGGGTCTAGAGTCCCCAGCTGCTCAATCTCTCACTGATTTTTAAAAACTACATCTTTCCTAATTTTATGTCCTGGTGTGACACTGTGGGGATAAAGCACTGGACCACAAGGTCAGTTTGAACCTCAAGGTAAGCAGTTCAAACCCACCAGTTGCTCCTCAGATACTCTATACAGGATCACTATGAGTTAGGACTGACTCAATGACACTTAGCAACAACAACAACATGTACCCTTAGATCAAAATTTTGGTCTCTAATACTATCTACCACTGAGAGCCATGGGTTTACATATGTCTTCTAAGGATTCCTGGTGTGGTGCTGTGGGTTAGTGAGCTGGACTGCAAGATTGGTTTGAATTGCAAGTTTGGTGGTTCAAGCTCACCAGCCGCTCCTTGGAAACCCTATACAGAGTCACTATGAATCGGAACTAACGCGACAGCACTTAACATCATATCTTCTAATGGCCTGTAATTTCTCTATGTGATGATAATTAAAGTCCTGATGTGGCACTAGATAAACACTGGACTGTTAACGACATGGTCGGCAGTTCAAATCCACCTTCCACTCTGCCGAGAGCCTGCCCCAGCATACTTATTTCAGGGTTTTTCCTGAAGATGTGTGTGGCGTCGGCGATTAAGGGAGTACACGGAGTCATGAGTCATGATAAATTCAAAATCTTCTTCTTACATGCTTTATTATTATTATTTCTATGGCTACTCTAATACTCTACTTCTCTCATTCTTTACTGCCCTGCTCATTTTTACCCTCCTGCTCATTCTTTTCTCTCCTGCTCATCTCTTCTGCTTCTCTCCCTTCCCCTGCTCCTGCTTTCATTCTTTCCTCTTCTGCTCATCTCTTCCGCTTCTTTACTAGCTTCCCCTCCCTCCATTTCTTTACTGTCTCTTTCTCTACATTACTCTTACCCTTTTTCTTTCTACACTACTACTCCTAATTATCTACATTACTACTTTCACTACTCTACTCCCCTGCTTCTTCTCTACATTACTTCCTCTATCCTCCCTCCATTCTTGTCTCATCTCTTCTCCACCTTATATTCCTTCTTCTCTCCCTACTTCTTTCTGCTCTACTTACTTCTCTCACTCTTGCCTCTACATCTCTTACCTCTCTCCTTTTTTCTACTCCTTTCTTCTACTTCCTTTCTTCTATCTTACAACCCCTTTATATACCATTACAAAAAACATTGCTTTCATAGTAATCAATGACATCAAGGTACAATCTATCTTGGGGCACATTCCTCATGGCTTACAATTCTTAAATTTACAACAGGGATGAGAAGTCACAGCAAAGACATTCTCTCAAGGCATAGGAGACATTCAGGCACCTTGAAACCTTTTAGTTAAACACTTGTTCCTACATAAATCTGTTCTTTTCTCTGAGAAGCAAGTTAACCTTTACATGTTTCTTGACCTTTGCTAGTCAAATCTTAAGCCATCAAGCCTAATGGTCAGGTGCAAGTTATACTTCCTTAACTTCCTCCTACAGAAACATCCCTTCTCAAGAAAGCTGAGGCTATCAAAACAATTCCCCTATTTTACTGATCAGACTTCTTATTTATATAACTGTAGATTCTCACAACCCTTATCTATAGTCTAATTATTTTTTTTGAAATTCTTGTACCCACAGCACTTATTTATGGTCTATTCATATTTAGGATTCTTCATTGCCTTAAACTAAGGCTACAAGGAAGAATGTTTACAATCACTAAATTTAAGCTGGTAGTAATTCAATTGACAAATCCTGTCTCCTAACAGTCTTAAGAACATTGTTACTATAAGTATTAAAACTACCTATGATTACAAGTGGAATAAAATGTAGCTAATGTATGGCTTCTAACTTTTAATGAAAATATACTAAAGTGTAGGAGAGTCAAAGATCTAAAGTAAAAAGGGATACTAATAAAATCATGAATAAATCAGAGAATGATTCAACAAGAGAAAAATTTAACTAGGGGTCTGTGTATAAAAAATAATAAAACAACTCTTTGTGGCTCTGCCATCCAAAGAGAAAAAGAAAATAAAAGAAAATAGTTCATTGTTGCTTTGCAAAAACAATGAATTCTTCATGCGCAGGTTCCCCTGTGTCTCATTTCTTTATTTCAATTCCTCGATTAATATGTCTCAATTTCTTCATTTTAATTCCTTCATTAATTATGGCTGTTGCCACTACTCCTTGGAAACAGGGTCACTATGATTCAGAACCAACTCGATGGTACTTAACAACAAACAATACAAGGTTTGGTCTGGGCCATTGTGAGAACAAAAACTAAAGACTATAATTTTGAAGGACTGAATAATCATGCCACTGTCCTCTGTTCTTCCAGAAGGTTGAGAACCACTCTGTCAATGATTAAACTATCTTGGGAATCCTCCAAGTCCCAAATCAATATAAAAACCCCAAACTAAAGCTGTTGCTATGAAGTCACTGCCCATTCATGGTGACACCATGATTTACAGAGTAGAATTGCTCCATAAGGCTTCCTTGGCTTTAATCTTATGAAAGCAGGTAGTCAGGCCTTCCTTCAATGCACCATCAGTGGTTTCTAACCATAAACCATGAGGTTAATAGCTGAATTTAAACCATTAGGCCTCCCAGGGGCCTCCTAAACTGATATTGTTGTTGTTGTTGTTATGTGCCGTGGAGTCGGTTCCAACTCATAGCGACCCTGTACAGGGTTTCCGAGGCTGTAAATCTTTACGGGCGCAGAAAGCCTCATCTTTCTCCCACTGAGCAGCTGGTACAGCAAAGGTAAATATCAAGTACCTAGGAAGTTTGTTCTGATCTGGTATGGCTTCGTATATGGGTTCAATAATCTATTACAATAGATACACAGAACTCATAGACAATACTCATGATTATGGAATTAGTTAGAGAAATGAACAGGGTACAATTCAGGAACAGAAACAACTCCGGATGTAGCAGTCTTCCAGATAGGAATGTCTGTCCTCTGCCGTATTGCAGACACAATTCACTCTTGTCGTCAGCCTCTCAGCCAAGTGGCTCCTCACCTTCTGCCCTGCTCTGACAAGGGTTACAAATCTCCTTTAGCTAGTCTGTAAATGCCCAAAGGGCACTTTCTGCAAGCCAGCCTCCTGCCCATACACAGTCTGCTTTATGGAGTCCATGGACTTAGAAGCCTACAGCTACCTGTCTCTCTATGCCACCACCATGCCACCACCTCTGCTGTCACCACTTTTCCAGGTAGGGGATCTCAGGGTTTTTTTTTTTTTTCTTGATGGTCCTGGGATCACCTTATTCTGCTTCTGAGATAGCTCCTTTAAACCTAGTAGATGGCAAAATTAACCAATCCTGGTGTTAGAGTCCTGTATACCCTTCTTGAATGGTCTCACCCAATCATTTGGTGGGAATTAAAAAGACTTTAGATAGAAAAGCCATATCAAGTAAATTCAAGATACTACAGTGCCAAGGAAAGTTTTCTGACATGCTAGATTTTCACCCATGGATACATATACAGTGAATGCTTCTTCTCCTTTTGGTTTGGGATTCTTCTTAATAGTCTCCATGCCACAGAATATATAGCTGTTGTTTTGCTCTGGAAGCCAGACAGACTAGAATATTGTCTAAGATGGCTGACTCAGCTGATTTTGGGTGGATTCCAAACACGATGCTCCTCTCCAGCCCTGAGAATCGCCGGACGCTGTCCAGTACCATGTGATTACCCGACATGTCACATGCATCACAGAGCTGCACTACCCTTTTCTTCCTCATTGCCTTCAAAAGCTCATGTTTATAACGATCCACTTCTTTCGTGGTACTGACAAGCACAGCGACATCATTGGGAGAATAGCCCATTTCAAAGAGAGACTTGCAGGTGTCTGCCACATAGGTCATCATTTGCCTCAGAGTCAGGTCTTTCTTAACTTGTAAGGTTCCCCGAACACTGTGAGTCCATTCAGCTTCATGGAGCATCTTCAGGGACTCATGGGGGATGTTAGGTGGAGGTTTTTCTCTTACCTCCTTCATTGCTTTCATAAGATAGTTGGCTATTAGATCTGCATTTCGAACCACTTTGGTGAGCTCTTCTTTAGGAAATTGGGCTGAGAGAGGAGGCAGGCCACTGCAATCCAAGTGGCTGGTTTGGAAGTAGTCCATGAAGATCCAGAGAATTCCTGGGCAATCCTTTTTTCTATGAGTGATTTTTTTTGCCTTCTCATACCAGTCACCATCTTCAGTGCGAAAATTCTGAGCTTCGTCAATGATGATGTGTTGAATGCTTTCAAAGTTACTACTGTTCATGAAGGTTTTCCGGGTCACTGCTTGACAGACATTTTTACTACTGTAAAAATGAAAAGGACATACTCATGTTTTCTCCAATTAAAATAAAGGAAGCAAAGCAGCCTATTACTTTGTTCTATGCATACTATTTATCACAAATTAATTTTACCCTCAAGCAACAAAAATACTCTGCTTGGGATGGCAGTGGTATTAATAAGCACCGGACTGTCAACTACAAGGTTGGTGGTTCAGACCCACCAGCTGTTCTTTGGAAACCCTGTACAGGGTCACTATGAATCAGAACCATCTCGAGGGTTCTTAAAAACAATGAAAACAAGCCTCATCTGGTGACAGTAAGACCCAACTGCTTACCTCAAAAAATTCCTCAGTGGCTGGTTTTCACAGATGTAGAGAATTTCTTTTGTAGGACAGCCAAATACTTTGCTGATTTTCTCCATGATTTTCATGGCTATGATGGTCTTCCCGGATCCAGGTAAACCATGGATAAACAGTTCTCTGTTCTTGTGGAGGTTCTTTGAAAAGATCTTATACTGTTGGGCTGTGAGCAGATTTAAAACCTCACAGCCGACTTTGTCACTCAAAAAAGATCTGAAACCAAGCAAGACGATCACGAGGGACTGAAGCAAGGCTTCCATTTGTGGGGTGTCTGCAAGACTGTAGGACTCAGAGTACTTTAGCAGACAACCTGGACCCTCTGAGGATTCCGCAGTGTCCTCAGCACTCAGGGAGAGGACCTTGGCCAGGACACATAATTTCCTAGTGTAGCCTCCCATGTTCACTAGCTTCTGCTTTAAAGTAAAGGCAGTGTGCATGGAATAGTGCTGCCCCGCTGCATCCTTCTCCCTGAGGACGGTGTAGAGAATAGGGGGGCTGCCCTGAGCTATTAGCAGTGCATCACAGATGACGCCCTGTTTCTCTTGCAAGTCCAGATCTACAGCCCAGCTTCTAGAAAAGATCAAAATTCCCCGGGAAAGAGGAGGCATTTCCTCCTTGATTAACTTCTCCAACCCTTCATGTTGTGAGGACAGCTCCTTCCAGAGAGGTTCTGGAGTACATTGTAAATGTTCTGATGGCACTAGATATGGAAAGAATGATAAATTTTAGAAAAAAGAGTATTATTATGAAGACATACAGATGTTCTTTTGTAAGTATTATTACATTACAATTGCAGAGGAAAAGACACTTTTAATAATCTAAATTCACGAGCTTGTTATGCTTATGACCTTGAGCAATACCTTAACTTCTCTAAGACTATTTCCTCTTATGTAAAACATGATTAATAATAGCACATTTTCTATGAGGAAAAGCTAAGAGAACTGACATAAAGTGCCTGACTCAGCACAGCTGCTGCTTGATAAATGCCAGTTCTATTTCCCTTTTTGATCTCAAAGTATCTGAAACTCTAAAGTCCCTAACTAGTTAACATTGATGCAGATACATGGAGCCTACCCAGAAAGAAGGTGGGCATTAATATCGTATTTATGGAGTAGATAAAGTTACATAAAGCCTTTAATTATCAGGGAAGACCCCTGGGTTAGATCCTAAGTTAGTGTTCCTGAAGCAGAACTCTTCCTTCAGTCACTTAGAAATCCATGTGTTTTATTTGTCAAATTTCACAACTATTGTTACTCCTACTTAAACAGCTTGGACGTTTCACTTCCTTTTCTATGGCTGTACTGACTCAACGGCACTTAACAACAGGAAGAATTTAAATAGTGCCAAGTTACTTATTCTTCAAACGTTTGGTAGAATTAGTAGAAAACTGATTTTTTAAAAAAAAATCACTAATAATAGATTGGTGTTTGGTGAGCATGCAGCCCAGTTTTTGTTTTAATTATAATTTATTCCATGGCAGTAAAGCGCTGTGGGTTAATACGTTGGACTGCAAGGTCGTTTGAACCAAGGTCAGCAGTTCAAGCTCACCAGCTGCTCCTCGGAAACCCTATACAGGGTCGCTATGGGTCAGAACTGACTGGAAGGCACTTAGCAGCAGCTAACACCAGCAATAAATTGTACTAAAATGGAGCTTCCTGAGTTTACAAGACAATGATGAGTAATGCTGTGGTTTACAATATTTATTGTGAGAACTTTTTTAACACAATTTTCACATGCAAGTAAATTCAAGAACTTCTATTAAGTAAGGAAGACATGAAATCTTAATCGGGGCAATCATTATCTATTAACTTAACGGTCCTTTATAGACATTATGTTGTTGTTGTTGAGTGCCGTCGAGTCGGTTCCGACCCATAGCGACCCTGTACAGGGTTTCCGAGGCTGTAAATCTTTACGGGCGCAGAAAGCCTCATCTTTCTCCCTCGGATCGGCTGGTAGTTTCGAACTGCTGACCTTGCCGTTTGCAGCCTGATTCGTTAACCACAAAGTTACCAGAGCTCCTTTTATAGAAATTTATACTATATCAAATTCCAGGACCAGGTAAGCCACTGACTTGCTGCATGTTGTTATTGTTGTTAAGTGCCGTCGAGTCAGTTCTGACTCATGGGAACCCTGTATAGGGTTTCCGAGGAGTGGCTGGTGAGCTTCAACCACCAAACTTGTGGTTCAAAGTAACTTTGCAGTCCAGCACATTAACCCACAGTGCCACACCAGGACAGCAGCATTGGCTGGAACAAAGACTCTTCCTCTCTAGGAATCTAGAAAGAAGACAGCAATGGATCCCTAGGCAAAATCCTAAAATATTGAAGCAAGGCATGTCAGTAGCGAACAGCCACTGTCCATTCAATCTTTTCTGCTGATACATGATTGTTTCTCCCAAACTTGAAACACTGGGAAAAATGTTCACAGTTATTCTTTTGTTTATTTATTTTCATATCTTAATACAATTTTAAAATTCTTTTTTTTTTTTAAAGTTTTTATTATGGATTGAGTGAAAGTTTAAAAAATTCTTTTAAACACCCATTTGGCAGTTCAAACTCATCAGCTGCTCCTTGGAAACCCTATAAGTCAGAACCAACAGGACGGCACTTAACAACAACAGCCACCCCTAGACTAGGTCTAGATGAGCATCAGAACCATGGGAGGACCTTGATAAACACACACACTATGAAATGCTATCTCCAGACATTCTAATTATTAAGTATAGGGTGGAGATCTGGGTAGCTGCAGTTCTACAAACAACGAGGAATAATGAAAATCAGTCAGATTTGGAAACTGCAAATGGCCTCTAAGGGCAATAGTGTTCTTGGATTTTATAGGTGATACAACCTCAGTCAGGGGGATCAGTAAAAGTTAATTTCCAAACTACTGATCATCAAGAAATTTACGACTTCTTACACAAGGATTTGAAGAGCACACTTTCAGGAAATTGAATAAACATCCCATTTATCCTAATGTAAAACTATCTGGTGTCAAACAAGCAAACCATAGTTACTACCTGGAAATAAGAGTTGCTGGAGATCCTTCTTATGTTCCAGGCCTTTCTTGGAGAACACTGGTCTGCTTAAAGGAGGCCCACTAGTTAGACTCAGTTGAGATTCAAAATCTTTGCACAACCGTGAAAGATCTTAATAAAGAAAGAAAACTCATGTTAATCTGACACAGTAGTTTATCTCTTCACCACTGAATGAGGCCTTATCATTGGATGGAATACATGATATTTTTTTGTGGTCATTTGAAAGATAACAGTGAGATAGATAATGCTGCCATTCATTCTGTCTAGAGTAGTACCTTTATTAAACAACAAAGCAACAATAAAAACAACCCATTGCCATTGTCGAGTGTATCCTAACTCATAGCATCTCTATAGGACAGAGTAGAACAGCCCCATAGTGTCAGGGACAGGGTAGGACCCCTGGGCCATCCGCCTGTCTTACCCTGGCTTCATATCCACCCATTTACCCTGAGCCCTCTCCTCTCCTACTAGACAGGGATCAAGAAAAAGGGAAGACATCTCTAGTCCAATAAGAATAGTAACATTGAGCAACAGCCTGGAACAGGGAGAAAGAAATCAGGACCGGAAACCGGGCTGGAGAAAGGCAACTGGTCACAAAGAGGAAGAACTTGACAGACATAGCTCATAAACTAGCACTTAGAGCACACAACTTCAGAAGGCACTCCATTTCCAAGAAATTTGCACCCCTTTACTAAAAACAATAAATGAATAGTCAGCCTCCCACTCCTCCTAATCAATATGTATTAGCCAAACCCTTATAAGCTAGTGCTCCCCAATTCCACCAAGTCTTCTCCACTCATGGAGAAAGACCCACTTCTCTCCTTGAAGTGTGCTTTTGCTTTGCAATAAAGAGCTTCTGAGTGAAGGTTTATTGTTCATGTGTGATTGAGAAGTGGCAATTTGGTGGGTCTAATTCTTCAGATGCCCTGAGAGCGAGAGGAATTAGGGAAAATGTGACAATAAGGTTTCCAAGGCTGTCATCTTTATACAAGTAGGTTGCCACATTTTCTTTCTTTCTCTCTCTCTCTCTCTCTCTCTCTCTCTCTCTCTCTCTCTCGATCTTTACATATATTCATATATAAAGAAAAAACCATGGTGGCATTGGAGGGTGAATCATAAGGTCGGCAGTTGAAATCCACCAAAAGCTCTGCAGGTGAACAATGATGCTGTCTGCTCCGGCAAAATGTCCTGTACCACAAATACTTCATAAGGTCATCACGAGTCAGAATCGATGTGGTAGCAAATTTGGTGAGTTTTTGCTCTGGTCTGATCCTCATCACTCTCATGTTACACTGAACTGAGAAATCTCCAAGAATCAAGAATCAGTATACAATGCAATTTAAGCACAGGTAGTATTGTGATTCAAACCAAATGACTTAAAGAATTTCAAAGAACCAATTTCAGGAAGCAGGACTGTACTAGGAAATGTTTCACAACCTGGTCTAATTGAGGCGAGAGCTCTCACAGCATTTTGACAATTTCTGTCATATAATTATCTCCTCCGTAGACAATTTCGAACTCTCAGTGTAACGTCACTAAATGCAGAGTTGAGAAGAGATGTGTAGTGGCACATAATTTTTATAGTATTTCTACCATACAGATAGATACAAGAGATATAAGTAACCTCACTAGCGTAAGTAATAGTAAAATGTAATACATACTTCAGAAGTGGCGAGTTTGTATTAATTACCTTTGTTTTTAATACAACTATCTAATTGTAAGTTTATATGATTTAATTTTAATAAATTTCTATGTTTAACACCTAGTTCACAAAATTCCTTGAAAATTTATTAATCAGCTCTGGAGCTAGTAAAAGCTGATTCCAACATACCACTGTCAGGAAACCATTTCCAAATCGTTTTGTTTCACCTTCTAATGTAGAAAATTTCCTCTTATAAAATACCTGATTTGGGCTTCTAATCACCCAACAAAATTTTCTCATGTATGTAAAGTAGGAAAGCTGAAGATTCCAAAAGCACATTTCAGTGGGTATGAGAAATTAAAAGTCACAGACAAAGAAAGAGCTATTTGGTATGTAGATTCCAAAGAGATAGAAAGGACAGGGAGGGGAAGAGCCTTCTTCCTCTTACCTTGGTCTATATCCATCATCCTGTCTACCCACTTGTCAATTGTCAACTTGTGGATTTGCTGGTTCTCCACCAGCCATGAACTGGGTTCTTCTGAGAAAACGGCACAACAGAATGGCTTCACTCTGATCACACAAGCAAAGCCATATAGCTTTCCCTTAGCAAACACATTCAAGATTTTGGTTGTGAAATTGATCTGGCATGCGGATTGGCAAAAATGGACACAAGGTAACTTGAGTATTGCTTTTTCTATTCTTGCTCTCAAAGAGTAAGGGTTAACATTTTCTTTAGCACATCCTAGGACTTTCCTACTTTTATCTTCCACTCCAATAAACAGATAGCCTCCCTCCTCGGTGTTTGCAAATGCAGAGACATAGACTGGAATTATGTTTTCTAGATATGTTTGGAAGTGTTTTGTAGAGAACTGTTTAAACTCTATGGATGGAGACTCGGGAAATGGCAGGATTTCACCATACTCAAGATTGTCTCTTTGGAAAAATTCGAAAGCAGGATCTGCATTATTGAAGCCCTGAGATATAACTTTGAGAATTTTACTAGATGGTTCTCTCTCTGTGCTGTTTTTTGCGTTCATTTTCTTGCCTTTCAGGAAATTGAATGCTTCTCTTGAATCCATTTGAATCACTGAGGTGCCAGACCTACGGTACAGTGAAGAGCGCAGGCTGCAAATGCCAGCCTTGATGGAACCATCTTCAAGGGAAGTGTTATAGCTCCAAGATTTAACAAAAATGGAACAACATCGACCTTGTTGCTTGATCTCAAAGAAGGTCTGAAAACATGAAGATGGAATGAGATCTTTCAAACACTGTTCCAAATCCAGTCCCAACTCTATGGGATGTTCATCCTTGTTTGCCATTTCCATCTGAATTACTCCTCCTCCTGAGTTTAATAAAGCACATGCAGCCCTCATAACTCTCTCCTTCTCTTGATCTTTCCGAGGTTTCTGTAGCTTCCTTCTGTTTTCTTCACCCAAAGTCACTTTTCCTACATTGATGACCAAGTCTGGGTAAGATAACTCTACCACCAAAGATGAACTATGCTTCTCCATGTTTGTTCTGCAAAGAAATCATTAAAACATGTAAGGTTGATGAAGAAGTAGACTGCATAATACACACAAATTATGTGTTCATTAATCTGTTTAAAGTATTTTTTGAGTTCCTAAGGGGTCCTGGTGTGGTGCCATAGGTTAAGCACTCAACTTCAAGGTCAGTTTGAACTACAAGGTTGGCAGTCCAGACTCACCAGCCTTTCCTCGGAAACGTTACATAGGATCACTATGAGTTAGAACCAACTCAACGGCACTTACCAACAACCACAATAGCTGAGTACTTGGAAGGGTAGATTCAGTGGTAAACAAGGATGAGTATAGCTTCTGCCTCTCAGAGCTTGTGGACAGGAAGAAAATATGACTAAATAAAGCAACTATGTTATTATTGTTGTTAAGTGCTGGCAAGTCAGTTCTGACTCATAGCGACCCTGTGCAGGGTTTCCAAGGAGTGGCTGGTGAGTTTGACCCGCTGACCTTGCAGTTCAAATCAACCTTGCAGTCCAACGCATTAACATATGTGTATTAAATACTCTGAAAGGGGAAGCACCTAAAAGCAACCATCAACTTAATATGAGTAGAGATTCCAACATCGTTCACTAACTTTATATGGAAAGGAAAGAGACCCCAGATGAGCAAAGCATTATTTAAAAAAGAAGAGCAAAGTAGGAGGCCTCTCACTTCCCAGTCTCAAAACCTACTACACAGTCACAGTGGTCAAAACAGCCTGGTACTGGTACAATGAAAGACACAGAGATCAATGGAACAGAATTGAGAATCCAGAAGTAAATTCCTCCACCTACGGTCAGTTGATCTTCAACAAAGGGCCAAAAAACATCAAATCAGGGAAAGACAGTCTCTTCAACAAATGGTGTCAGCAAAATTGGAAATCCATTTACAGAAAAACAAAACAAGACCCATACCTCACACCATATATAGAAATGAACTCGACGTGGATTAAAGATCTCAATGCAAAGCCTAGCATTATAAAGATCATCAGTGACAAATAGGGACTTATGGGCTCTGAAACATGGCATAAATATATTATCAAATATAATGGAAACACACAAACAGAAGACAAAACAGATGACTGGGATTCTTATGTGCATCAAGAACTCCTGGTGTGGAGCTGTAGGATAAGCACTGAACTGTGAACTACAAGGTCAGCAGTTTAAATCCACCAGCATCTCCTCGGAAACACTGTACAGGATCTCTATGAGTTGGAGGCCAGGATGGCCAAACTTCATCTCTCATACTTTGGACATATTGTCAGGAGGGACCAGTCACTGGAGGAGGATATCATGTTTGGTAGGGCAGAGGGGTAGAGAAGGGGAGGAAGACCCCTGGTGAGATGGATTGGCAGGGAGGCAGCATCAATGGGCTCAGGCGTGGTAACAATTGTGGGGTTTTCCTTGATTAAAAAAAAAAACATTCTATGATGGTTGCAGGAGTGGAGGGTGAGGAATTATTCATTGGCTAGAGGAGGGTAAACACATGTTAACATGGGTGACAGGGAAGGCAATATATAACAAGAGGGAGGTTGGCAGAGGAAAGATGGGGGGATTAGGAGACACAGGAAGGAGTGTGAAAGAATATAGAGGTAAGTACTCTTAACTGATAGTACATGGTTGTTGTTGTTAAGTGCCGTCGAGTCGATTCCGACCCATAATGACCCAATATAGGGTTTCCAAAGAGCAGCTGATGAGCTTGAACTGCCGACGTTGCAGTTCAAATGGCTTTGCAGTCTGGGAGGAGATTGCAATTATTGTAATGAAGCAAGTATATGATTTATTTAATGTAAAACTGATGATCTGCACTTTAAACCTTCACTCAATTCACAATAAAAAGTCTAAAAATTAAAAAAATTTTTTTTTTTTTTTAATGTCATGCCAAGTACAAAATGATCATACTAACACTGTTGTAACAACAAATTTTAGCAATAGTCCCTCAGTAATGGAGTAGAGTAATAAAATGTGGTGGCATATATATATATATATAT